ACAGGCATGTGCCACTACGCCCTGCTAACTTTTTTGTATTGTTAGTAGAGTCGGGGTTTCACCATTTTGGCCAGGCTAGTCTCAAACTCCTGCCCACCTCAACCTCCCAAAGTGCTGGGATTACAGACAGGAGCCACCACGCACAGCCTCTTCTTTTCTACCTTTGACTCACCTCTGTAGTATGTGGCCACAGAACAGATTCCCTGCTTTCAGAAAGCTTCAGACCAAAATAAACCAAACATTTTATCAGTTTTTTAAAAAATTTAACTCATAAATGTAATCTTTGCCATACCATGTGTGGAAACTTCAGCACTTCCTGCACAGATATTATTAAAGTTGTATGAGACAGGAATAATGCCTATTGCTTCGATTCAATTCCATAGAGCTGAACATAAGAATAACTACAGGGCAGACACTCAGTAAAAATTAACTATTCACCAAGTAGAACTTGAAGGTTGTTTTCTAAATTACATGAATTTTAAAATAACTTTTAACATGAGAGAGGACCCACTCTTACCAAAGACAGGATTTCTTGCTAGATTAATACACACTGCCATGTCAGTGCAGTGGGCATGCTGAAGTTCCCACGCCTGTATCCTAATGTTAGTGCTGATTCTACATGAGCAAAGCTTTGTTTAAAGCACCAGTTATTCTACTGAAAATGGCATCTTACTAATTATCTGCATTTATTGGGATTTTCCCAAAATGATATGTTCTAGGAAAAATACACCTTAAATGAAGCCAATTAAATATATATGAGCTAGAAAATCCACAAAAAATACCAATAAATGCCCAACAGAATGTCAAAATTAAAGATGGACAATACAAAAGTTAGCAAGCACGTACGACAACCAGAACTCTCATCTATTGCTGGTGGGAGTGTAAATGGCACAATCATTCTGAAAAGGGGTTTGGAAGTGTCTAATAGAGATTAAATATATCATATCTCATGCCCTTCACCCAATGACCCAGCAATTCTATTCCTAATGAGAGAAATAAAACATAGGTCCACAAAAAGATCCATATAGAAGGCTATTATGAATTTTACTCAAAATAGTCAAAAACTAAAAATAATCAAAGCATCCACTAACAAGAGAATGTAAAACAAATAATGATATGTTCATATAATGGAATCTTACACGGCAATAAAAAGAAACACACTATTTATATACACAACAGTATGAATGGATCTTATAGACATCATGCTGAACAAAAGAAGCTGGACATGCTAAAAAAGGGCGCACGCCGTATAATTTCATTTAAAAGAAGTTCTAGAATAGGTAAAATGGATCTATAGTTAAAACAACTCAAAAACTGGTTACTTCCAGTGGAGCATTATTGATCAGAAAGAAGCATGAGGGAACTTTCTGAAATGAAATTATATCTTAAGAAGGGCGTGTCACATAGGTGTATTTATTTTGCCAAAGTTCACCAAATTGTATACTTATAATTTATGAATTTCACTATATGTAAATGTTGCACTAAAAATTACAGCATTAACAATTATAAACAAATATTAAACTCAGTTTGCCTATCATGGTGGTATCAGTAAGCAATTCTGAAACCACTTACTGTATATTCTAGGCTCAAGCAAATGAGTGAACACATTAATAAGGATAACGGAAGCCAGGTTTCTCTGTGTTAAAGAAGGCAGTAGAAATACACAAAGGAAAAAGACTAGGACGTACCTGAGGTACTGAATTGAATGGGAGGTATCAGTATGAACACACGGTTTTTACTGGGTAGAAAAAAATACACGTATGTGTATATACTTGTATATGGGTGAATCTTATGAACTATATTATATGTGTATTATATATTATAGTAAGTATGCATGTACATTTCCTACTTCTGTCTACTGAGGTCTATAAGTAATGGTATACCTATAGCACTGAGTATACATAGTATCCATATCTTGGTTTCTAAATACCTTTGTCCTCATAAAGAACCAGCAGAAAGAAAAGAAAAAAGAAAAGAAAAAGAAAAGAAAATTGCTGGCTGATTGCAGGACTAGGACAAGAAAAGACCATGATGATACTGGAGCATCAATTTGCACCAGAAACTAAAGTTCTCAGATAATGATGGAGGCATATTAAACACATACAGGATCCTGTTTGAAGGGACTCCTATTAGCTAGATCTATGGCAATCTGGGTATCAATACAATGAGAGTAATGGATTATGACTGACTGAATAAAATAAAAACCCAAAAGATGACGGTAACATGAATATACAAATAAATGAATAAGAAAGAATATTACAGTAGGCTAACAAATAGATAAATTATGAACTTGCAATAGACCTAAAAACAGTGAGTATGGCTGAGCACAGTGGCTCACGCCTATAATCCCAACACTTTCAGAGGCCAAGACAGGTGGATCACTTGAGGCCAAGAGTTCGAGACCAGCCTGGCCAACACGGCAAAACCCTGTCTCTACTAAAAAGTACAAAAAGTTAGCTGGGCATGGTGGTGTGCACCTGTAGTCCTAGCTACTTGGGAGGCTAAGGCAGGAGAATCACTTGAACCCAGGAGGCAGAGGTTGCAGTGAGCCGAGATCGTGCCACTGCACTCCAGCCTGGGCAATAGAGCAAGACTCCATCTCAAAAAAAAAAAAAAAAAAAAAGTAGGTAAACAAAACATTTTATGAAGTGTAGATATTTATATAGTTTCAAAGTTATCTTCCCACAAATTATTAACCATGGAGAAAGAGAAAATGGTAACTTTATAATGGAAACTGTTGGCAGACACCACCTTAAACAAATATTCAATGTTAACATCATCAACATCGTAACAAACTAACATCATGTACTTCCCGATCTGATGCACTGAGAAGGATGCCTATCACCTCTTTGGTGATTCTGGCTTCTTTGGAGCCTGAATACTACAGGAGCCTATGTAACCTGAATTTAATCCTTGGGAAACATCAGACAAACCCAAATGGATGGGTATTCTGTAAACTAACTGGTAGCTTCTCTTCAAAAATGTCATAGTCAGGAAAGGCAAAGAGAGGCTCAGAGAACATTCCAGGTTAAAGGAGGTAAAAGAGATGACAGTTAAATGTTATGCATGATCCTGAATCCTGGATGAGGAGAAAAAATAGCTACCAAGGACATTATTAAAACAACTGCTGAAATTTAAATATGGATTGTGAATTGGATAGTAGTATCTATTTGTATTAAATGTTAACTTTCTTTTTTTTTGAGACGGAGTTTCATTCTTGTTGCCCAGGCTGGAGTGCAATGGCGTGATCTCAACTCACTGCAACTTATGCCTCCCGGGTTCTAGCAATTCTCCTGCCTTAGCCTCCTGAGTAGCTGGGATTACAGGCCCACGCCACCACACCTGGCTAATTTTTATTTTTAGTAGAGATGGGGTTTCACCATGTTGGTCAGGCTGGTCTTGAACTCCTGACCTCAGATGATCCACCTGCTTTGGCCTCCCTAGGATTACAGGTGTGAGCCACCACACCTGGCCTAAAGACTAACCTCAGTTTCAGTAAGTATACTATAGATATGTAAGAGAATAGATTGGTGCTTCAGAAATACAAAGGATATATTTATAGAGGTGTGATGTCTCCAACTTTCTCTCAAATGATTAAGAAAGAAATGCTATAGGAGAGAGAAAAAGAGAATAATAAAGTAAATGGAGAAAAATGTAAGCAACTGGTGAATCAGATAAATGATACTGAAGTTCCTTATATCCGTTTTCTAAGTTTTCTGTATGTTTGGAATTGTATCAAAATAAAAGTTGCTCCCTAGAAGCATATATAAACTGTAAAATATATATGTATAGCCAATATTTATATAAGCAACATCGATTCTCAAACTTTAGTTCCAGAAAATGTTTATGGGTTTTCTGAAAGGAAGATGATTCTGGGGCCTAATAAACTTGCTCACTGCAATCCCTTTTTGAAGAGAAAAGCCACAAGGCACTTTTAATAAAGAAGTCTATTTAATGGATTTAATCCAACATTCCACAATAATCTGTTCAGAAAACCTTGTTAAAATAGAATACACTTTAAAATCTTATAAAAATATGAATATGCTGTGGAAAACAGAGAACCACTTGTCCAGTAAACACATTTCCCATACTCGCTTAATTGAAGAAAGATTTGTGCTGGGAAAATAAGAGGCAGAGACAGAGACACACACATACACACACAAAGGAGTGGCATCAGCTTCAAACAGGAAGAGTGGAATGATGTGTGTCTTACAGACTTCTATCTAAAATGCCCTACCCAGGCTCATAGAATGCGTTCTTGTAGGATATATTTTAAAGGGGGTAGATATTTGGTAAACTGAGTCCCAGTTTTATTTAGCCATTACATCAAACATGCTATACAACATGTTGCTTTAAATATGTCTCTTCCAAGGAACCGCACAGCAGAATAACTTCCCAGCCTTAATGAGTACCTACTATAGGCCAGGTATTGTGCTAGGCTTAGATAATGCAAGAACGAATAAGACACAATTTCAGCCATCCATGAGCTTCCAGTCTAACGAGTGAGACGGAAAAATGAACATACCCAGTGAGAACTGTGGTGCTCAAGGATAAGCATTAAACTTTATGGGAACACAAAACAACGTGGCTAACTCAGGCAGAGGGTGATCAGAAAAGGTTTCCTTCAGGAAGTGTTATCTAAGCTAACATGTTCCTTTCTCATGCTGTCTTTGAAAAGCTATTCAAAGGATTTTTAAAATATATTAATCATCCAATATTCATGTTCTGCTCCTAAATGACATCATGTAAAAAAAATTAAAAAAGAAAATACACTCATTAGCTCTTAACATCTAGGTGCATTTCAAAATCTAAGAGGGCTGTGACACTGAGGTTACCCCAAACAGCCATCTCAGAATTCTTTCAAAAGCACCTCTAGACTTAGCTAGGTATTCAAGTGTAGGAATAAAATAATTTGAAGAGAAAAACACATAAAGGAACAAACTGAAAAAATCAGAAATAGAACAGTACAAGAAGACAAAAAAGTGGTAAGTATTGTTTACCTGTCAGTTGACATTGATTAATCTTGTGTTCTGTGATATCGCTCAGCGATTCAAACACCTGGAGGCAGCTGTCACAGCTGTGCACAGCTTCGTCTTCCAACTCCTCCCCGTCTTCCGGCCTCTTCTTACAATCTAGCGCCTCTCCATCTTCAGTCTTGTCTTCAAGTTTACAGTTGGGGTCTGAAAAAAAATCAACACTGTAAGTATGGGGTTTAAAGACAGGTTCTTTTAAAGTAACGTTTAATCTTCTTGCTACCAAAAACAGAAACACCATTTTCCTTGAAGCTGCAATAGGAGGGCTTCATTGCAGATTTTATTACAGGCGAATCAAAAGTGAGCCTCTCCTAAAATTATTCAGTTAGTGATCATCAAAGGCCTTCTTCCCTTTCCCCACCATGTAGTCCTTTTCCCATCTCTCCCATCAAATCACTCGTCTACTCCTAAGATTGACTTTGCCATTTTTTTCATAGCCTTTTAGTTTTTGCTTAAAAGAGAGCGATAAATCACTTTTAAAATTAAACAGTCTCCAATGCAAAAGGAAAAAAAAAAAAAACCCACTGTGATTAAGAATGAACTCTTTTTCTGCTAAATATACTCTTTCGTGGGAAATTACCAGAATTAGCCAAAAGTCTAGAATAAGCTAAGGTAATCACCATAGGCACAAAATTGACCTTTACTTATAAACTGGTCAAAACACACAGCTACTCCATTATTTGTTAGACACTGATAGCAAAATAAGCTGTATCACATAGCAAAAACATTCTTACAAACGCAAACTCAAGTGTAAATATGTCTCTTGTTTTCAAAATTATCCAAAAAAGTGAAATAAGATATATGAAAAGCAATTATAAATAATAACGAAGTCAAAAACTTGAGTTGGCATTACTAGCGTTGAAAAACTAAATGTTGTGAAAATTAAAAATAGTTCCATTTTAACCCTAAAACTGATACACACACAGCAAGGAGAAGTGCGGGAGTACAGGGAGAGAAAAGCACGTGGAATGCTTTTACTTAAGAGCTCAATAAATGCTTTTTGATTAGTGACGCTGTCCTTTGACTCAATTCCTCCCAAAGAGGGAGGGAGAAAGGAACTGTGGGGAGGGGGCAGAAGAGTATCTCTTTGGGGGAAATTAAGATAATAGGGTAATACAATCAGTGACTGAATTTATGGGTCACTGATTACCAGAAGCAAAAAGTTGTCCAAAGTCATAAATAAACTATATCTCAAAATACAGTAAAATTAAACCGGAGATTTCTATTTTCTATAAGGCCTTGACTAGTCAATGAAATGGTTACAAAAGAACTGTATCAAGATACCTAAGAAATAGGTAAGGCATTATCTGTAGTCACATTTTTATATGACTACAATATTACTTTTAATGGCTACAATAAATATGATAATTTAAATATAAATATAATCAATTTTTTTAAAATTTTGCTTTTCAGAGATGGGTCTTACCATGTGGCCCAAGCTGAGGTGCAGTGGCTATTCATAGGCACTATCATAGCTCACTGCAGCCTCCAACTCCTGGCCTCAAGCAATCCTCCTGCCTCAGCCTCCTAGTAGTTGGGACCACAGGCACACACTGCCATACCCAGCTATTTAATATTTTAACTATCTCATTAAATGCTACAATCAAGAATCCACAGAATCAAAAGTAACCAAGTATTTCTCAAAAAAGTCCATAAACGCCACCACACCAATATCCTGTGCTCTGAGATTGTTTTCTGCTATTTTGCACATAGCACGTTTCTACGAATGCTTCTTCTACGAGTCACTTATATTCCCTTTTTTGTCTGGCAGTTGTTCTAGAGCCTTTCTTCACCTCTGCAATAAACATAACTATATCACCACCCTTCCAATGATTCACATATGCCAAAATCAACTTATATCACAATGTATCTGATCATCTCTTGGGTTCTTTAAAAAAAAACAAAATTCCCATCTCAAAGAGCACGTAGTTTTGTTTGTTGGGTTTTTTCAAAACGAACACACTGTTTAAGTACATTGGTAATTTGGGTTGATTTGCCATCTGGAAAATGATTATCTCAACATTCCACACAGTGCCTATTTCAGTATACCAGGATTGAGACTGCTCATTCCTGGGAGAGTAATCACAGGGATTTTGCATTTGTCTTGTACTCTGCCCAGCACAGTTCTATGTCCAGGTGAGTGCTTAGTAAATATTATTTAGTGACAGTGAGAAAGAGAAGGAGAAAAAAACAGAGACTACCTTTAAAAGTCCTTTACTGGTATTTTCTCTGTAAACAGGAACAGACCAGTTACCTCTAAAGTAAAAAACACCTGCATGCCTACATTTTCCAAAGCTGATACTACAGGACCCACTATATTTGGGTTTGCTTCTCTCAAATATTTCATCTGGGGCTACAGATGCAAAAAAAAAAAAAAAAAAAAAAAAAAGGCAATGATTCAAAGATCTCCGACAAACTAAAACCAAGTGATGAAATACTGCCAAACTAGACAGCAATTCAGGAAAATACATAACTATCCCACCTATGGCAAACTGACCCCCACACCATTAAAACACTTATTGGAAGGTAGCATGCACTCATGAATACTCTTGGTTGTTTAGTATGAGTTTCTAGTTTCTCAAAAAAACTGATAGCACTCAGGGAAATGTCGCTGTTAGGTCTGAATTTTAATATGATTATTTAAATGCTACACATCCAGTTTGCAGACCTGTTTGTTTTTAAATAAGGAGACTCTGTGAACACTTTAAGTACCATACAGAGAAAAACGATAAAAACTCACTTTCCTTATTATTCGAGAATATAGACACGTTCCATGAATCCAGTATCAAAAATACAGAGAAGAATGCATGACGGTTTCGCTCTTAAAAGCTGAAGAACTGACCCCAGTCCATGCTTCCAACACTGTGGCTAGTTATTAAAATGAGGGTCATTTTAAGACTAATAAAAAATAGTTTTGCTTCCACTTCTGCATTTACAGATAGAACCCTTCAGGGACTGAAGTCAGTCAAGCTTATTCACTTCTGCTGCAACTTTAGGATGCATGCTCCAGCCAACTGGCGAATTTGTTTTTAGGTCAACACTTAAGAGGGACCCTCTGGGAAGCGGGTTCGATTATAGCCTATGATGCCTTGGAGTAATGAGTACTGGAATCTCAGTCTTTCTCCTTGTAAGATTTTTCCAGCCTCCACTTTCATGAAAAAGTCTTTTTTGCCCATTCAAAAGATGTGTTTATTTGTGCTAGGGGTTTGCATCCCTAATGCCAGTTGATGTAGGAAGATTCTAGAAAGCTTACACTGTCAACCATTTCTTTCCCACAGGTGGCTACACTTCAATAATTGCACACGGACTTAGTGATGTAGTTTTTATAAAGTCCTTTGAGATCCAATCATAAAAAATAATTGTATTACTCTGCTAGCCATTCAAACCTCTGACTTCAGCCTAAGGGGTTATAAATACAAGGTCCACGCCTGTAAGTACTGCCCTGCCCCCAGCACCACTGCAGGAAGGATCATTGTTCTCCCAACTCCGTTGTTATGCTATAAATCCACGCAAAGGGTGATATTTTAAAATATCTCCAAACTCTCTACACTGCAACTACAAACTGTGTCATAGCTGCAGGCACCACTTTCTCTCCCCCTACCATAAATGATGCTGCCCAAACATGTTGCATTCAACACAAATGATCTCACCTCCTCAACCAACTTTCCACCTCATCCTCTGAAAAGGGTGCTATGGGACACTGGATTTATATCGTTCTGATTGGATAAAATGCTGAATTTTGGAACACACGCACAATTATTATTACAAAAGTAAGTGGCAACTTTCTGTGTCCAATTTTGTTAACATTACTTATAAACAGGAATTTAAAAGAAGCATTCTTTTCCCTGATTATGTTCTCTGGCAGGTGGTTCTTTTCTCAGTCTCATCTTCCTCTTCGTAAGAATTGTTATTGCTATAACTTGCTTTAATAAAATTACAACTGTGGGGGAAATGAAAAATTACACTGGCTTAAAAGTGTTGGAGGCAATAAACCCATGGACTTCAATTAATTTCAAGTGTGGGATCAGTTTAAGGCCAACCAGCAGAAATTCTGTTCTGTCCATGTAAAAATGAGGTTTCACCACATTTACTTTTTATAACCTATATAAAAGTCAAGTAAAAGTAATGAATATCTAAAAGCCATCTCAGTGGACTGGCAAAGACTATCTGTATTCTTGAAACTCATCTTACATATTTCTCTCTGTGCAACAAGGATCCCATGCCTGATCAAAGCTAAAATGTCAAACTACTGAGAAAACAGCCCAATTTCCAATCCATTTCACTGCCTCAAAATGGACCTCCTTCCAAGCCACTTTTGCATGGAAAAGCACTGGCAAAAGAAAGAAAAACTAAGAGATCATGTGGTTATAATTATTACCAGGCAAGGAATATTTCTGCAGCTCAGTGGTAAAGTAAAACTCTGTCGCTCTCTGCTCCCAATAGTGTCCATCGCAAAACAACTGCCTCATTAAATCTCTGCAGTAAGATTAATATGCCGTAGCTGCACTACATTTATAACTTGGTACTCTATAAAAAGCACATTTAATGGTAAGAGCCAGAGCCTAGATACAAAGTATTACTATAAAAACTTCTGGCAGCAAGTACACAGTGCAGGCCCTCTGTCCCTCTTGCTGGAGATATAAATGAGGCTTTTCCTGGTTAATTCCAAGCATGAAGCTCTACCTTAAAAACCAGAGTCAGTTTTTATGAGAGTGGCAGAAACACAAGATTCTGAGGATGATGTAAATATGAATGCAATAAGATTACTTAACAACTAAGACTGGCAAGAGATGAATGAACCCAAAATACTCCACTTATATACTCACACAAATTTAAAACTGGACCACTTCCTAACAGTTTGTTCTCTGATCATAGCCAGCTTTTCACCAAATTAAACAGCCATGGCATGAATTACTCAATCTTAAGTCAACCTACACAGTGCCCAGTGAGTTCAAGAAACTACCAACTAAAAAATACATACTACATGAAAAAATTAAATCTTAGCTTCACTGTGATGACCATGACCTCCAGGATCTTAATAGCCTAAACCTGTTTTAAAAAAAATTAAAGAAAAAGTGGCCCCAACACTACACTGAACTAGTAAAAACAGAGGGTTTTTGAGACTTTAGAAAGCTGCCCGAGTTCTT